GCGCATAGCAATATCGATCGCCGGGCGGTCACATCTTGCCACGCGCTCGAATTGGGCGGTAGGCCGGCCTAAGACAACGATTTTTAATAATTAATTACTCGTTAACTATTACGAAAATTACAAAATGGTACAGGACTTTTCTATTTATCTCGATCCGTTCTACTTTCTCAAAAATTTTGTCGGATATGGAAAGACTCACCCTGTATATTTAAGACGAATGATATATTATTCATATATTATTACGAGTGGTGAAATGCGAAGAAATACACACAGTACGACAAATAAAAACTTTTCAAACATCATAATCCAACGTAGTTGCAGTAAGGGATCTTAGGTCTTAAATAATTATTCTATAACATTTCAACTATTTTTGTCTTAAACTAAATTTATTAGATTCTATATCAAATATGTATTTAAACTGTAATTGTATTAAGCTTTTCGTCGAGTGAGGCTATTTAATGACACAAAATGTACTACGTCAACCCAACTTCAATTTGATATATGTTTTGCATTATACTATTATATAATAGTAAGTAATAGCAATAAGAAATTCTTGACAATCCAATAAATCCAAAATGCAATCAACATGTGGACGATCTAGTTACATTTGGCTATACATTTAAAGAGAAATACGCTTCTACTTAAAATAACTCAAAATGATAGCTGGATATATATGAATTATATTGTGCAAATATATGTTACATTTAATACGAAGAAATTCTGAATCTTGTACAATGAAAATCTTTCATTCGAATTGCATTGGATTTAAATCGGATAATTATATATATCTAATTTTAAATACAACTATATAATATAATGTTAAGCTTTGTTTTTTTCCAGCCGCATTTTCTTACACTTTCCATAGTTTTATCGAAAAGCAACTATTTTGGATTCCACTTTTCAATTCTTTTTTTTTTTAAGATATCACATTGTTGCGTGATCTTTCATTACAAATGAAAGTGTAAGAAATATTGCATGTACAAATCAATCGACACAAATAAAATCCGATTAGCATGTATTCAAAGTGCATTAGCATCGTGCTTTAAGCAAAATCTCGCCTTGTAAAGCAAAAAGGGTGTTTTATATTAGGAGGCTAAAAGATGACTACATCTTGACATAGTCTTAAAGCTTAACGTTAATAATTGTTCAAAAATAGATGAGAAATATTGATTAGAAAATTATTGGGTCGCCCATTTCTCAACATTCCACGGTTTTGCAATGTATACATTCCTAATGATCGACAAGGCTATTTTTGTAATTAGCAAAGCAAACGCTTATGGCAAAATATATCATTACTACAAACTGTGCTTTATTAAAACCTTTTCATACAATTTAATGTGTGCATACAGTGTATATTGACAATCTAAAATTATTCATTAATATTGAATTATATAATAGTAATAGCAATAATGAAAATGAAAATTGTCGTTGAAATTTTTTTTGGACTCTAAATTGATCAAAAGATTCAAAGAATATTGCGTTTGTTTCGTGATAAGGTATAGTATTCTTAGAATATGTTTTCGTTTCGATTCCGTTGATTTTATTCAACATTTACATGCGTTAAAATACTCTGTACTTTGTTAAGAATAATACTATTAGTACAATTACAATTTTCGGGATAATATGGGGGTTTTATTGATACAGTATCTTCTATGAATAAAATATCATCCTCCTCTTTAACTGGAAATCGATTGTCCAATAATAATTGCATAACAATATTCTTCCTTTTAGTAACCGTCACCTCTGAAAGGTTTGCGGGCGATAATGAAAACAGTTCCGGCACGAGTACTTCGGCTTCCGACGTTACTTCGATATTTTTTATGGCGTGATTGAATATTATTTTAAGATGATATTGCGTAGATGTTTCTGCCTGTAGAAGAACAACGCTGTAAAATAATACGTCATTATTTGCAATTAAATGGTTAAAATTGACAATCTAAAAATTTAAAAAATTTGTAAAAGGAGAAATTAATGATGTAAACATTATATAATACAACTCATATAGTTTGTAATAGAATAAAACACTATTATTCATAACAAATAACACATCGAGAAAGAGTCGAATTACTCTCTTAAAGAAGCATTAAAATTTCTCATGCCAACAATGCGACCTTTGTTAGGAATATCAAGTTGAATATCCACGATAGCTAAATATCTGTCGAATACAAATTTTGAAGATCTGTTACAAATATTTTCAATAGAACATCAGCGGAAACGTAACAGAATCTATTAACAGAATAGCAGATTGACTGCAGAAACTGAGCAGAGTCTATCATTTCTTAACCAATTAAATGATGTACTCCATGTAAATGGTTACGTGTGTTTAAACATGAAATAATAGATTCCGTTCAGTTTCTGTTAGCAATCGATTGTTAAATTATATTGGCTCTGCCGACAAAAGTTTTAATGATACCAGATCCGTTGCAACGTCCGAACAAATCTGCTGTCGTGCTGCAAGTTGGAATCCTTAGTAACACATTGATCAAGTACTGGTGCGACGAACTAGCTTTAATCAGCTTTATTTAAAAGAACAAAATTGCAATTATTCATGCAGTAATAAACACATCCTATAGAAATCAATGGTGCAACTCGATTCTTTCTTAAAGAGTTTTGTCTTTCTTTGATAAACAATACAATGTGTGTAGAATAGAATTTATAAAATTCTACTTCAAAATATAAATTTCTCAGAAACTAATACTTTCTTACAATATGAAATAACTGAATATAAACAAAGAGAGAGTACAGAATGTACGGAAAATTGAAGTGCAATTTTTTAAATGTGAACAGAAATTATGTTCACTATATGTTTCTTAGACAAATAAACAATAAAGAACGGTCCAAATAAACGTAAATACGTGTTGTTTTAAAATTATTAGAACCGAGTACAGAATTTCGATAACTTTTCTAACCTCTCTGATACCGGATCGACCGTGTAAACAACGCCATAGTGAACGTTTTTATCCTTCATCATTATCTTAATCTTCTTTCCGACATAACTTTTAAATAAGATTGGATCATTTTTGTATACTTGATGTGCAAAATCCAAATCCTCTTGCGTGCTCATATCAGAGCTTTAAAAATAAACCACATGTACTCAGCCGTAGAGTCCTAAATAATAAGAGAAGCGCAATCGGCGGCATCGGCGTCTCGCTACTCTCGCTTGCTGATTGGCTGACCAACACGTGGCTGACGCGGCAAACCAACACGGTGTAGAAATAATAAACAAAAAGTAAAAATAAAGTTTGCTTACACGAAAAAGAAAGTTTATTATTTCTACACCACACATTATTTCATACTTATAGACTTTCAATAATACGCACGGAAAAAAATAATTTTGCTATTGCAGCAAAACTGTTGCTATCTACTTAAATACTGCCATATTTGATAATAACGTGATGACGATACGAGAATTGCTTTATTATACCTTATTAAAATTATTCACCATTACAGCAGAACGTTTAATAGAACAGAAATTATTTTACTTCTTTAGCTAAATATTTCGCACAATTATTTTTCAATAAGATTAGTGGTTTTAACACATAGTTGTCCATAAAACAGAAAATAACTTTATCATAAAATAAAAGACAAAATTTACGCGTTTTCCTTTCCTCATTGTTACAATAATTTTACTCATTTACATTCTCTTGTATTCTCTAATCTTTTTCGTAAAATTATCCAGTTAAAGAACCGACAAATGTAGGAATTTATTAATACAAAATTTTTATATTATGTATGCATATGTATACATTAATCTAAGAGGTTAAAAATAAAAGTCAAATTTTTATGGTTAAAGTTTTTTTATTGGTTGAAGTTTGAAACTCTGATAGCAATATGGTATATATATATATAAATATACAATAAATATATTTGTATGACAACATAAAAACGAAATATATATTAATCTTGTTTTATACATGTATATATTTATGTGTGTGTACCAGATATAAATTTTTGAAAGTAAACATTAAAGCTGTACATCATACATAATATAAGGCTTGTTTTCTATTGCTGCACCGTGAACTAGTGCAGTAAACTAAAATGAGAAAAAATATATTTGAACTTCTTGCCCCGGTTCACCAGTGTAGCAAGAGAGAACAAGCCCATAATATATTTATATTTTTAAAACATCCTAACTTAACTTAACCTAGTTAACAAAGCAGAGTTAACAATGCAAGTACGCTAACTTGTATTGTTATCTAATATTTCTTGCGCTCGAAAACAGTCGCTAACAATTTTCCATTTATCACCCACAGCCGTAACTAAAAAGGTCTGGTTAAACGGTTTGAAATTCCTGTCGTCGTATTTTACTTGGCCGCCGATTTTGACGAGAAACGTTAATTGGGTGGCTACCTCTGGACCTATATATAACAAACAGATGATAACTGGTGTATTATAAAGATAAAGGTTCATATATAAAATATAAACATACAATCATCCTTATGTTACATACAACCCAGTGAAAAATGACGATTGAAAAGGCTATGCTGAATCAACATGAAATGTATCAAGTATAGATCACTTTAATATCTTTGAAATTAATCATTTTTCACTAGAAAGTATTAATGAGACCTTATTCGAATACGACTAGAATATACTTGAGGAGAAGTTCAAAATTTATGTTATAAAATCAAGCTTCTAATCGACCATAACTGGCGATGTGTTTTTTAACACGGAAAATTTATTGCAAAAAATATTACCTCAGCCAGGGTCTGAACCTGGACCTCCCTACACTCTAGGCGGGCGTCTCACCAATTGGACCACCGAGGCATATGCCTCGAATTGGTGAGACGCCCGCCTAGAGTGTAGGGAGGTCCAGATTCAAACCCTGGCTGAGGTAATGGTCGATTAGAAGCTTGATCATTGACAGTCAATAACGTTACAATAAATAAAATGAATATAGTTTATTTAAGAATACTACAATTATCAGTACTTACCTGTAATTGGCTGAGCATCGAGCGTCTGTATCGTATGCTCCGAGGTTGGGAAGTCCGTCCAAAATTTTTGTATATCATCTTTCCCCGAGACGCCATTTCCATTCCATATTAGAGTAGCGCTGTCCATATACATTCTTGAAATCAACTGAAGAATACACGTAAAATTAAAATACGTAGTTAAGAAAGAGTACATTTTTGACAATGTCGTTACTTACGTATCTCCGCTTGTCCAAGGATTCGTAATACAGTTTTGTAAATTCCTCCGCCATACGACAAGCCTGATCAATTCTAGCTTTCAGGTCCTATAAAACGAGCACAGATATCGAGATCAGAGGCAAGTATGATTAAGCATTCGGAACATGTATTTCATGAATGTTATATGTCGTCTACAATGAGTGGAGTAAGCCTAGCGCAAGGAGTAGGAGTAGGAATAAGAAAATTTATTATTAATGAACGCGAACGTTCGGAGATTCGCGTTCCTGTTCTGAAGGCGGTCGTTTCCCTTTTATCTTTAATGTGCCGTCTCATGAGGGAATCGAGCCGAGCACCATTAGCTCTGGTCTACAATACGTGGAGTAAGGAGTAAGGGAGAGCCCTAAAGGCTGGTCTACAATACATGGAGTAAGCTGGAGTAAGCCTAAGAGCTGAAGTAGGAGTAAGAAATAAAATGGATTTATTTCCTTACTCCTACTCCTTACTCCAGCTTACTCCATGTATTGTAGACCAGCCTTTAGGGCTCTCCCTTACTCCTTACTCCACGTATTGTAGACCAGCGCTTATTTTCCTACTTCTACTCCTTACGTTGGTTCACCTAACCTCCAACTATCGACGTTGCCAGTATTGCCTCTACTTTTCTGTGTTCAAAAATTTACCACAGGTGTTACTAATCTATAATACATTAACGTGGACTATAGATTTTTGGAACGCAATCTCAACTGTGATTTCGACGCTCACACCGCCGTTGTAGACGAAAATGTTGTAAGCATCTTACGCCAAGATCGTTACTCCTACTCCCGGCTTACTCCACGTATTTTAGACCAGCCTTTAAGTATTTGCAACTTAGAACGAGTAGCAAATTCGATCGTTGGTATTTTTCGAAAGAGCATTATACAGTTTTAGGAAGGCGTTCTGTTAATACATGAAAATTGAGAGGTCCTGGACCATGCCGTCTAACATACTGACATATATGTATATGTGTGTGTATATGTTATACATACCTGCTCCATCGTGAGTCTCGTATATATTCAGAATTGTGTAAATATCAATGCCTCTAATCTAACGTTCTTAAGTTCAGTACGGGAATTCTGTAGCTTGCAATCGACGCTTTTCGGTATCGTTAACTGGCGACAGCCAATGGCGAGGACGATCTTCGAAAGAGACGCAGATTTTCATTGGTTGCTCCTAGTTAACGTTATGGAAAAACCTCGATAGCAAGTTAGAGAATTCCCGTACAGATCAGTTCGCTCAGCCTCACACGGATCGCAGAAATCACGGGTGACGTCGGAAGCGACTTGAAATTGAATAGGTATATGGACGCTCGCTGTGTGTATAGCGCCACCACAGTATAACCAGTAGTGGCACTCGCTCTTTTGTTTCACGTTCGCGCCGATCCGTACTGCGCATCCGACATGTTTTTATTCTGACCAATCACAGGATTTTTGTACGTGTGTTAGTGCAAAGTCGGTGTGACATTGAAAAATTCGCAGTGTTGACGAATAATGGGTAAATACTTTTATACGTTGGAGCAAGTAATTACATTAATTACTTTTATTAGAACATTTTCTTTCATAGGCCATTTCCATTTATAATAAATAATGTATGCCAGTTCGTATGTGCCTTTCCTGGATACGATCCTGAAAAGGGCCCAGGCACTTTCAACCGTTGATACACTGTTGGCGCGAATAAAAACATGGCGGAAAATTGAGAACGCCCAGATCAAAGGCGCCGACAGAGAGTGCAACTACTGGTTATACTGTGGCGCCACCATGGACCTAAGAATCTCTGGACCGAGCATACGGCGAGGGGGCTGGCAAATTTGCGGTAAGGGGGGCGAGAGTGCTCTCCTTTTCTGTCCCTCTTGGTATCTCTTTCTACAAGAGGTCACATTCACCTCTTGTAGAAAGAGATACCATGAGATACCAAGAGGACAGAAAAGGAGAGCACTCTCGCCCCCCCCCTTACCGCAAATTTACCAGCCCCCTTGCCCGTTCTCCCACTTCGTGCTCGGTCCAGAGATTCTTAGGTCCATGAGCGCCATCCCTAGGCAGCGTTGTAGAAACCCCATCCGAGTGTACCGTAGACTTCTATAGACGGAACCTTTTACGAGGGGT